ATTTTTAAAATAAGTTGCGAAAAAAAATTTACTCTGATAAGTCGGGGTGTTACAGTAATACCAAGTTCTTCCAGGGATTCGTGAGGCAGAAGCGAGTCAAGTCGTATATCCATAGTGTCGAGGATAACGGGTCATCCGTGACCCAGGAGTCCCAGATACGGGAGTCGGCTAGGTCTTACTTCCACTCTCTCTTTTCCTCTGAGCGGGATTTGCTTACGCACCCCGACCCGGACCTTTTTCCGACCATCCCGAAGTCGGTTGACCTTGTTGACCTCTGTGACCTCCCGAGTAAGGAGGAAGTCAGGGAGGCTGTGTTTGGGATTGATCCTAACAGCGTTTCTGGACCGGATGGCTTTTCGTCCCTCTTCTTCCAGTCTTGCAGGGAGATTGTGGGTACTGACGTAGAGGAGGCTGTGAGGGATTTTTTCTCTGGCCACCAGATGCCAGAGTCCTTCACGGCTACATCCATCATTTTGATCCCGAAGAGATCGGGACCTAGTACTTGGTCTGACTATAGACCTATCAGCCTATGCAACGTGACTAACAAGATCATTTCTAGAATCCTCAACAGTCGCCTCGCCCCTCTCCTCCCCCTCCTTGTCTCCCCGAACCAGAGTGGATTCATCAAGGATCGAGTCATCAGTGATAATATCCTACTGGCTCAGGAGATGATACACGACATCTCTCATGCGAATCGTACACGAACCCCGAACCTCGTGCTGAAGCTAGACATGGCCAAAGCATATGATAGGGTCGAGTGGCCGTTTCTCAGAGAGGTACTGTCTCGGATGGGATTCCCTAACCGTTGGATTAGCTTTGTGGAGGCATGTGTGGAACACTGCAAATTCTCCGTTTTGATTAATGGTAGCCCCACGACCTTTTTTCCATCTACCCGAGGCCTTCGTCAAGGGGACCCCTTATCCCCCTCCCTTTTTGTTCTAGTGGCTGACTATCTCTCTCGCTGCCTTGACGGCTTCATTCGCGATTTTCCGAGGATGACCTACAGCACGCGTGGCTGTGGACCTCCCGTTTCCCACCTTTCTTACGCGGATGACATTATCATTTTCACTCGTGCGAATGATAATGGGCTAGTTGCTCTCATGAGTCTTTTAGACCACTACAGTGAGACATCTGGTCAGCTATTCAATGTTAGTAAGAGCTCTTTTATCATGGACCACCACGTTGCAGACCACTGGGCTCCCCAGATTCACGAGCGTACTGGATTTGCTCGTGGGGACTTACCCATCACTTACCTTGGGGCCCCCTTGTACAAAGGCCATCTTTCCCATGAGCTTTTTATTGACGTCCGTCAGAGGATGATTGACCGGATTTCTGGCTGGTCCCATAGACACCTATCATTCGGCGGCCGACTTGCTCTGATCAAGAGCACTCTCTGTGCCCTTCCTCTTCACCTTCTTGCAATGCTTGACCCCCACCAGTCTACGATTCATGAGTTAGATCAGATCTTAGCTCGCTATTTTTGGAGCTATGGCGAAGGCCCGCGAGGTCGGCGGCAGACCCACTGGGTAAAGTGGGACTCCATCTGTCGTCCCCACTCTGAGGGTGGGCTCGGGGTTCGGCGTTTCTCTGATATGGTTACTGCGTTTTCCTACAGGATGTGGTGGCGTCTTAGGGAGGGCAAGTCCCTTTGGGCCCATTATCTCCTGAGGAAATATTGCCCTGGTGGTGCTGCTCATCCCTGCAGGGTGACAGCCACCGCTCGGGATAGTCGACAGTGGAGACGTCTCACCACTGTTGGCAGACGTGCTCAGGAGCACATATTTTGGACCTTGGGTTCTGGGGAGGTTAGCTTCTGGGATGAGTGGTGGTTCGGCGAGGCCCCCCTCTCGAGTACTAGGCCAGTCACTCACCTGCCTTTCATGCAGGTAAAGGACCTTTGGACGGGAGGTTTTTGGGATAGAGATAGGATGGAGGATACTCTTGGTGAGGGTGGGGGTTTTAGTAGTCTAGAGATTGACCAGATCCGACAGATTCCCATTCTAGAGGGAGGTTTGGATGGCATGAGGTGGAGACTTACATCTTCGGGTGCATTCTCTACGTCTTCAGCCTGGGGAGAAGTGAGGCTGGGCAACCGGACAAACCGCCTCTTCGGGGCCATATGGACCGATCTTCTCACCCCGACCATTTCCGTTTTTTTGTGGCACCTCCTCTTACGGCGCATTCTCATTGACACTGTGATGCAGGCGAGAGGGTTCTCCTTCCCCTCCCGCTGTCATTGTTGTGCTGAGACCGGTACCTTTGAGATCGAGACTTTCACCCATCTTTTCCTTGAGAGTGAGACTGTGAGGAGAGTGTGGGAGCACTATGCCAGATATACTCATATACCCCTACCCACTACAGATAGTTTTTTTGAGCTTCTGAGTTTTTTCGCTCACCGCACACACAGTAGACACGTGGGCTTCCTTATTTCTTGTCTGATCCTTTGGGCCACCTGGACAGAAAGGAATAATGCGAAGCATAGGGATATTATTTTTTCTTGTGCTCACATTATTTTGCAGGTTGACAAACACCTCTCTCTCCTCACCACCCTGGGTAGACTCACGACGAGAGACTAGACAGGGTGTTCACCGCCCCATCGTTTGAGGCCACCACCTCCTTTACCTGTCCAGCATCCACGTCCCAGGACCGTTTTTTGGCTGAAACCCAAGGCCCCTTGGGTTAAGCTAAACACTGATGGCGCTTTCGACAGACATACCGGAGCTGCTAGAGGAGGGGGCCTGATTAGGGATCATGGTGGGGCACTCATCTCTGCCTTCCATGGGCCACTCCGGGCCTCCTCGAGTTATGATGCAGATATTCAGGCGCTCCAGATTGGTCTCGAGATTGCTGCCTCGATCTCCTCTCATGTTTGGATAGAGATGGATGTTGCGGCTGTCATCACACTTTTGACATCTGGCCACCAGGGCTCATGGCAGATCCAGCATCCTCTTATGCGTATCAGAGACACCCTTCGCTCGATCCATTACCAGGTCTCTCATATTTTCCGGGAGGGGAACCGGCCTGCCGATTTCCTTGCTAGCACGGGGGCATCTATACCCCAGAGACGCACCCTCCTTCCTGAGGACATTCCCCTCCGGCTTCGGACGCTCATTCGGATGGACCAGTTAGAGTACCCATCCTTCAGATCCGGTCGACCGCCACCTCCTGCCCCTGACTAGATTCGGCCGACCTCTTATGAGGACTCGATTTTAGACTCACATCGCATATTTTTGTGACCTTTGTAGTTTTATTTCTTGTTTTATTTTTAGTTTTTATTTTTCTTTTTATTTTCTATTTTCTCTGCTTTTGTTGTTGCTCCATGTATTTCTGACTTGGATGTAGACCATTGACTTTTTTAGCCCTAGCTGGGCCTTATATTCACAGGTCGGGGGTGTAGCCTCAACCCCCCATCCCAATCTGGGATGTTTATATAAAAAAAAATAAAAAAAAATCAAGATATTGATACTATTTTATGAAATAGTCAAAACCTGTAAATTAAATTAAAATATATACTCACACAAAATTTATATTTTTACTGACATGATATATTGAGTCGAATATAATTACTATGTTGTCTTAAATAAATTAACAATATTTGGATAATAAAATAATAATTTATAGTTTACTCTGTGCATTGCACTGGTATCAACATAATTCATTTATTTAATAATACTAATAATGCTACTAATAAAAATAGTAATATTAATAATAATACTAACCTTAGTAGCTATTAAAGTTTGGAATAATAATAAAAATAATAATAATAATTTTAATAGTCAAACTTATACAATAATAAAATAGGATAAACGATTATTAAAATAAACGGGGTGCTACATGTCATGAGGCAGATAACGACTTATCCCCGAACCACTAATCGTCTCAGAAACTAACCTCACCTCACCTGGAACAAGAAGATGTGCTCCGAGGCGCGCCCACCTACCCTTATGAGCCGCCTCTGCTGCATGCTGTCGTGATTGCTTGTTGTCTTGAGCGGTGGTCGTCACCCTGCAGAGATGACAGAAGCCCTATGGCACTTGTCGAGAAGGTAGTGAGCCTGAAGCGACTTTCATCCGTGAAGCGCAATCACATCTTATAGGAAAGAGCGGTGACAACATCCGAAAGGCGGCGAATCCCAACGCCACCATCGGAAAAGGGGCGGTAAATGGAGTTCCATTTCACCCAGTGGAATTGTCTCCCCAACTGGGAACCATCCTCGTGTCCCAAAGCATTTGAGGACTCGAGAGAAAATAGTCCTGCATCTATATATATTGAAAAAAAGGGTTATGGAATAATCCAAAATAATAACTTTGACTTTTTGATTAAATAGGTTGACTTACTTTAATATTTATAAAAAAAAAATGAAAATCACATTATACCAATTGTAAATAGTGCAATTCGGTTAATGGACCGACTTTCTATATAAATGAAATGTTATAATTTTTTAAAATTATTTTGTGATAAATATCGCAGTAAAAATCTGTTTCTTCGTATCAATTACGAATCATTGCAATTTCTTATTCTTTTGGTAACCAACCACACAACATGTCTCCAAAAAATTATCTATTAAATATTTTTTTAGAAAGTATTATTTGAATATGCACGTAAAACTGCAAATATAATTGCAAAATAAAAAATCAGTTATGAAAATTTGATTTTGATATTTATCACAATGTTATAATAGTCTTATTTATCATTAATAACAAATCGCGGTGATTTTATACAAAAACATTCAACTTTAGCATAAATTATTTAGAAATCGTCATAATATATTGTAATAAGGTATTAATAAGTAGAGAAAGAGAGAGTAATACTTATTGAGGATGTTTAAATATGTTAAATTTTTATTATCTTTAATTATAAATAGGAACTGTAAAATGACAACTATTTACAACAAGTGAAATAAATACATAAATTGTATATTAAAATAAAATCAATATTAAAAACTATTTTTATATTAATCAATATCTCATTGCTTCTATACAAACAGTTTATAATTATTGATTCGTGCATTACACGGGTTGCGTAATAGTTAGTTTATGTTGTAGAAGCATTATGTTGATTCGGTGGAACGGTATTTAACGCATTTTTTTACCTGCGTTATAAGAATATGAATTAAATCTTCTGTTTGGCTCAAGTTTGGTTCGTTCCTTGTACATTTTCTTCAAAAGATGAACCGATTTGACTTCATGGCGCGAGACAATTTTTACATAATTTATTCATCTAATTATTCATTCATCAAACTTGTTAGATACACACAAGGAGTGGGCAAAAATCATATGGAACAAATTACATGCATTGTCAAAACTTGTTACTAAGGTTCCCACTAAGATTTCCACTCAGGTTCCCACTAGTCGTCCACCCTTCTTGAACTTGAACTGAGTACTGCATATGCCAAAGCACATCCTCTATGGTCGGCCGACCAATAGGATCCTTGCAGAGGCAATTTACAGTTATTTGAACTACCGTCTTTAGAGACTCGTAAGAAAATGTCCCTCTCATGGAGGGATCAATCAAGTCCCGTAGTCTTGATGGTGATTCTGCTAAGCTCTTATCCAGCTGTAACACCGAATTAAACAGTTTTCAGACAAGTAAATGCTTTACGAATGTCCCGAGGGTAGCTAATTTCTTTTTCCTTTATTTTTTGTTAGTATTTTGTTTTAAATTTTCTTAAAAGTACTTGGACAAGAAGATTGTTGTTATTAGGAATGAATGAAGAGGGTTGATTCTTTCTTTACCTGAAATTTGAGGTCCTCTAGTTCGCTCTGAGAGTTTGTAGGTCTACCGATCATAACCTCGAGTAGGATAACTCCCAGCTTATAAATGTCTTCCTTTTCTGGGTTTTCACTGCAGTAAAATGTAATCCTAATGAGAGGAAGAAAAAATTACTACAAACAGATTAAACTCTGAAGAGAGTGTAAAAAGAGATGTACCTGCTTGAGTGATTTGGGGTACCCTGTCCATTAAGTGGGCTTTCAACCCCCACCTGAAACCATTACAATTGAAATTAGTTGAGAAGTTACGTTATTTTATTTATTTTCGGTGTTCGTTATATTTGTGATCCACTTGTTTTTCTACCAAAAAAAAAAAAAAAAAAAAAA